ATCACTTTTTTACTCATAATTTTACTCAGTAAAATATGAATTTAAAATCTAGCATATCAGAATAACTCTATAGGAAAAATTGCAACTTAAAAGCAAACACAAGCATAAATTAATGAGTGGCATTTGAGAATGGCCTAAATTAGTTTTATTGTATGTCTAATTTAGCTACAGCACAAAGCATGGAATAATGTATCAAAGTAATATGCATGTAGTTCGAACAAGTAAGTGGTAAAAGTGTCATTATATCTGTATTTATACATGACGATGATATTAACTATTATATACAATATATCATGTTAACTTAGTTGAATATCAATTAACATTTGTATTTTTAAAAGGATTTGACTATTCAATTTCTAAAGATTTATTGTACTGTACCAATTTTTTTCTTAAAAAAATGTCACAACTACCAACCATCGATAATTTCAGACCTGTTTATAATTTAGTTGAATTAGAATTAGAAGATTATGAAGAAAATAAATTAGTTTTGAATATGCTTTATGATTTAAAATCATTTTTTTAAAATTCTAATAATTGTACTTGTCATACAAAACAGAAAGATCTTAGAACTTGTTTTGAAAAAGTAGGGTTTAAACATTTTTTCAAGAGACATTTTGAATTAAAAGCTTTAGAAGAACGTGAGCTTGAACTTTTTGTAAAATCACAATTAACATTATTTGAAATTAGTGATGAAAAAGAAAAAAATAAAACACAAAAACATATATATAAATACAATTATAATTATTCTTTACCTCTTTGTAGGCCCACATATTTAAAATTATATGGAATTAATAATTATTTACTTTCTACATTACAAAATTATTTACAATCAAATGGTTTAACCAAACGTGTTCATAAAAATTCTAGACATGCATCTAAAACTGAGTCTAGGGTTTTTTTAGACCTTAGCATAACATTACCAATTAAACAATTTCTAGTGCAATATGGAACGATTCACAGGTTTCCTTTTCTATTATGGCATCAAGATGATTCTGAGGTTTTTATTTATCTCCCTACTGGCCAAACCTACAATTCAGTTTATAATAAATATAAAAAAAAATTTTATCTTACCCATAATGAATCAGAAAAAATTATTTCTTATTTCACGTTTAGAAAATTATGGCTCGAGATGGTTCCTAATCTTCGATTTCAGCCACGTGCAAGTGATTTTTGTGAGGTTTGCACCTCTTTCAAAGCTAAATTGTTGGTCACCAAACAGAATGTTGATGAGTATAATAAAGTTCAAGCTGAATATAATGAACATAAAGAGGCTGCAGATCTTGAAAGAAAACATTATAATAATGATATTGAAAAGAGTAAAAATAACCTAAATATTGCACATATTTGTTATAATTGGGCGCAAAGTGTTCATATACCATATTTACTACAAAAGTTGGTTCACTTTATTTTAAATTTCCTTTTTCTGTAAATATTTTTGGTGTTTGCAAAACAGGAGAACAAAATTATCAATTAAATTTTTTAATTGATGAAAACAAACTTCCTAAAGGAGTCTTGAAAGATGCTAATACTACGTTGAATATGGTTTATTACTTTCTTCAAACCGGAAGAGCAAAAAAATTAAGAGTAACTTGTGATAACTGTAGTGGTCAAAATAAAAAGAATTTATCACTTTGGTTTTGGTCATAGCTATATTCATTAGGTTGGTATGAAGAAGTTATCATTAATTTTTTAATTCCCAGGCACACAAAATTCATTTGCGATTCATTTTTTGGACAAATTAAAAAAGTTTATAAAGATAATTGCATTAATCCTATTGATGATATAGAAACTATTGTAAATAATTCATCAAAAGGAAATAATGCAATTCAATATAAAAGTAGTACAGGATGGGTTTGGCATGATTTTAGTTCTTTTTTTAAAAATAACTTCAAATCTTTACTAAATATAAAACAATACCATCATTTTAGATTTAATAGTTCAGAAGTTGGAAAAGTTTGTCTCAAAAAAATCAGGTGGTAAAGAAATTTTCTTTCAATTATTATATAGTAATAGTTTTGATAAAAATAGTCAATTAAATACTATTTCTTCCATACCATTATCAAGTGATCGAAAAAAATATTTATATACAAAAATTCGTCAACATGTTGATGACCCCTATAAAGACATTCTTTGCCCGCAACCTTAAAATAAAAAATTTTTTAGTTATAAATACAAGATTCTCTTATTCAATATAAAAACATACATGGATGATTCCTTTCTACTATTGAGTGATCAATGCAATACTATACTTTTTAGTATCATATAAAATTTTTTTTAACCATTAACCAAATTTTAGCAATTCTTTAGCACAAAGCTACTTAACTCCTAGGCTTTTCTTATTTATCTCTTATTCTAGCAGGCTACTTAAATTATATATCTTGGAGTAAGAAATCAGCACAACTAGTATAAAAGTCAGGTTTGTAAAAAAAACATACATAGATCAATAAACCGATCGATTGATCAATCATGTGACCATAACTAGGCCTATTGTATATTCAAACAATGAAAGATAACTGCCAATACCCTAATACAATACAGAGGTATGTGTTTTATCGATTATTTTAGTATTTTCTTGGAATAAAAGCAAAAAGTAACTCTTTTCTTTATTCTTTTATGTTCGTTATATGCATACATTTGACTCCCAAATTAATTATATCAAAATTTATTGATTTCCAAATTACGTCAAATTTTATTATACTATATTTGACTTCTACATTAATTACATAATAAAATATAAAATCAATCATACAGTTTTTACTTACTTATTCACAAATTACATCATGATTACGTGAATAATTAATAGATAGTACACGTGTTCATGAGATCATACCTTTAAACATAAATTCAACCCAACTTCAATAAGTATTCCTAACATTTCTATCTTTTAAATTAAGCTCTTCAATCATTATTCCCTATACAATGTATTTTAACCCAATTTTTTGTCCTAGGACTGATTTTCTCTGTAACACAGTTTTAGGTGTAATGATGCTAATAAAACTAGTAGTTAGTCTATAGAATATGGTAATTATTTGATGGCTATCTTGATATAAAAAATGTGCATAAATAACACTAGTAATATTTAATAAATTTGCCATTTAACATGGCGAATTTATTAAATTTTACTAGTGTAAGTAAAAAAAATTATTTTCTTATTTTTATATTATAGCATTAATTGATTTTAATTAGTTAATTTATGTCTAGCATAAATGCACTCTGAAATCTGCAAAGATCAATGATCAGCATATCTAAAATTAGCAGCAAATCAAATTTAGGTTGTTTTGGTTTTACAATCTTCAATCATTGTTTACTTAAAAAAAATTTTTATTGTCGTAAGGTTATTTTCAAAACAAAAACCCCATATAACAATAACTACATATTAAGTTAAAATATAAAACTTTATTAAATATATATATATAATATTTTTTTTACCAAGATCTTTAATGTCTATATATATTTCTGAACAATGTTTTCAATATTGAAAGTCACTGAATCTTTATCTTTCTTGGTTTATATTTTTAAATTTTTCAAAAACAATCATCATACTAATTTTTGCTAAAATCAAAAAGTTTTACCAATTTCTATCCAGAATTAACTGTCTAATATGAATTCATATAGTATTTAAAATGTTAAACTTTCAGTTTCACATTATGTATTATAATTTCAGTTATTCTAAATCAGACTCTAACTTATGCTTTTCACTGTATAACTTATGCTTTTCACTATATAACTTCTCAATTACAAGTCACTTGTCATTTCTAAAAATAAATCTGTTTATTAACATCCTAGGTTCCTGATCTCATAATGTTGCAATTTCCTATTTTAGAAATACATCTTTACAATTGTCATTACTATAATTTGAACCAGCAGTCTTGTAATTTGTAATCTCAGAACATAACTGTTATACTATTGATCCTAAAGGTTACTAAAAATATATTAGTAAAATAAATACAAAATTAAATATACTAAATTAAAAATTTAGACAAAAAATTGTTGTAAAAAATATAAAAAACATATAAAAACTAAATAAAGAAAATAAAATAACAAAAATCCAAATTAACCATATAATAAAATACAGAAAGTTTTAATAAGTTTAAAGCATAAATGAAATAGTCTAAGTTTTTGTAATTTGTATATATTATAATATAATAGACACACAATACAAGCTTGTCTTTATATAATATAGTATATGTACTAATAAAAATTAAAGGCATGATTTTATTTTAAACATTAAAAAAAATTTTTAATAAATAGATTTAACTATTTTTAATATCTTATTCGATTAAAAGTTATTAGCTTTTGAAGTTAGTATATTCTTTAAGTGACGTGCTAACTATAAAAAACATTGGATCTTTAAACATACATTCTATATAAATAAATAGTTGTTTTAGAATATTCCAATAAAGTGCAATTATAAGATTTGATCGTATTTTGTATGGTAATATGTAACTAAGACTACAAAAAAAGCGACTAAAACGAGATTTAACAAGCCCCAATTATAAAGCTTTATTATAATTAATTTAGTTGTTTCATATTTTTATTAACTTTTACTAATTATCTGTAATCCTACATATTAATTTTAATAATTTTCAAATAAATCAAATTTACTAAATCTGAATTTTAATGATTTTGTAAGGGATAATACTAAATTAATACGTTAATGTAAAAAATATATTAGCTACCTGAATTGAACATAAACATGTTGGATTACTTGTGACAAATAATAATGAACATTTAAATACTGTATAATAAAAACATTTTGTGCCTTAATGATATAAACATAAACAATAATTTTATTAGATAAGCTGTCATGTATTTTCTTCAGCCAATAAATGTTATACATTTCGTTAAAACAAAGTAAATCATTATATTTTACGCAAAATCTCACGTCCTTTTGCAAGGGCCGTCCAACCACGAGGTTCTACTTATTAGCGTTTATGGATATGGAAATCACATGATTGTAGACACGTGGATGAGTTGACGTTGTATGTATATGTTATAGATTATTGGGCCAACGGTGCAGTAGAGGAATCAGGTGCTTGAGATGATTCCTATGTAATAACCAACAAGAATGTTATTAACAATATACGAAATAAAAGATCAAAAAAATTTGAAAGAGTAAAATACGTACTTCATCAATCTGCATATATTCACTCATTTCAGCATCCAATTCCTCTTGGGTTTTTTTCGGTCTGTTATCTGCTCTGCGAGATCCACCTCTGCCACCGCGAGCGCGTGTTGAACCACGCGTAGAATTTGAGCCACGTACGGAAGAACGAGTTCTAAATATAATAGGAAATTTGAAAAAAAAGTAAACATAAAATTTAAGAAATTTAAAATTTTGAATTTTTACATGAAACTTACTCATTGACACCGCCGATGCGTTGGCTGATAGGGCTTGCATTGGGGGCGACAACAAATTCAATTTTCAATTCACGGCCTACATCAACAAGAAAAAATATTATAAAATGTCCGGTAAAATTATGCTAAAAGCATTAATGTAATTTATAAACAAGATTAACTAACCATCGAGGGTAATGTTCCGGAGTTTTTCAACCGACCGAACTGCATCATTTTTTCGCGCAAAAACGACGGATGCCGTACCTTTCGAACGTCCACTTTGGTCAAAGTTAAGGTTAACCTGGCGTACAGGACCGATCATAGTCTGGAAGAGTTCCTGATGTTGTAAAGGGATTAGGGGTGTCGAAGTGCGGGTGTGGAGGGTTTGATAGCGGTCAGGTGGTTTGTTTTCAGAAGGAGCAATAAGGTTGTTCGGATTGGAAAACGTTGTAGAAAAGATTTCTGATTCTCCAGGTACCAAAGCAACAAGGCGAAGAAGGGCCGTTGACGATAAAAATTTTCGTACAAAGGTCGCTTTTTCGCTTCAGGTTTATGTTAAGAAGGTAAACCCCAGCTTTGTCACCAAAGAAAGAAACTCTTCGTCTCTTTTTTGTCTGTCTGTAGTACAACCGATAATGGCTTGACATTTTTAATAGTTACCCAAAGATCTGCCTCTGACACCTTGTAAGCGAGGTTTGAAACAAGGATTTTTCCTTCGGGAGAAGCGGAGATGTTTGTTGCTGTAGAAGTTGCGGCGTAAGGGCGAGACCTAGCCAGTGAAGATCGAGTGTTTCTAACTGGTCCTCCTGAACGTTTTGCAATGCCACCACCACGGGTAGGGCCTCCACTCCTATTTCCTCTCGAAGGTTTTTTTTTTGCAATGATTTCATCAAGGGACATATCAAGGCCTGCAGCGGACATGATGAAAACTTTGAAAGATGGTTTCGAAAACTAGAAATAGAATTTATGAATCAAATAGTTTGAGATGGTAAAATATTGGGGTCAAAAGGTGCTGTGTCGTCTGTGTTATATAGTTTTAAACAAAGGAAAAAACTTATTACACTGAGAGTAGAATATAAAAGACCCAATTAATAATCGTCATGGTCACGAGATTAAATAGGATCGTCCGGGCTTAATCGGAAGGGTTTAGCGTATATATAAATAAAATAGTACTACGCCTCCTGTTTGAGTTATTATCAATTTTCTCATCCAAACTAAATCTGTTACTAAATGAACGGTACTTTAGATATGGCTCTTGATGAGTATGTCAAGAAAAGTAGGAAAGGAAAGAAAAGAAATCCCAAAACATCTCGTAGGGGAGGGCGCGTTACGACCGCACGGATGGGAACTACTTTTAGCAGTAGGAACCTTCGAAATGCACCTTACGAACGGCAGGTGATAAGGATCTTTCTATATTTTTTTAGCTGACTCAGATCAGGAGCTCCACCCATTCCTTTTGTTGACGGACGATAGAACCTAGTTTGTCTACAAAAGAAGGTCAGGCTGGAGATGCAAAAGCCGGAATTTATTTCGTACTGAAGCCTTTCTTGATCTACATGTAGCGTCCTCCGAAAGGCAATATTGATGAGCAGTGGTCCCATGACCTTTTCGAGGATGCTCGTTTTAAGGAGGGTCGTCAGAATGTTCGTCGAACATTAAATTCAAACAGCAATACAAAATTGACCGTTGAAAACTTATTTTATGAAGTGACTGAAGATGACCTCGAGGTTGGTATTCAGTACTGTGTAAATGCAATTTATATTTCAATGTGAGCAATTAATTAATTGATATGTGATTTGAGTAGGAACTTTTTTCTGAATGTGGTCCTGTTAAGAAAGTTATTTTGCATTATGATCGTGCTGGACGAAGTACAGGTAACGCAGAAGTTACGTTTGATGATCCAAAGGATGCTGAAGCAGCACTTAGAAAATATAATGGGCAGACTCTTGATGGTATGTAAACTGTCTTTATTTTCATTATTTTTATTTTAATTACAATGATTTATTTATTTGTAACAATATGATTGATCAGGACAACAAATGAGAATCAAATATGCATCCGTCAAACCTATACAAAAGGTATCAAGTATGCGTGGATCATCTGCTGCCGAAGGTGGTTCCATTTTGGATCGCCTTGGTGGTGTTGCTCGCAGTGGATTAGTGTATGTGCATTTTACATTCATCATCAACTGTTGAGAAAGGAGTGAATATTCGCAAATTTGTGGTTAGCCAAATTTTATTCGTACCCGTAATATTTTTGTATTGCGTGGATCTGAGGTTTTAATTTTTTTTTTTTTTTAAAAAAAATTTGTACGATACATTCGGCCTTTCTTAATCCACGTCATTTGGTGGTTTTATTTACGACTTTATCCAACCATCACCATATGTCTTAGCCATCATGACTTAATCCCTATTGTACTCTCTTTCTTTCTTCCTCACGCATGTCCCCATTCTCGGGAAATATGATCTTCCATATTACAGTAAGCAAGTTTCGCGTGGGAATATTCGCTCTAGGCTTGGACGAAGTGTAAACAATGATACAGTGTCTCGTGGGCGTGGAAACAAGATTTCAGATGGTCGTCGGAAACCAACAAGTCGCAAGCCGGTTACGTCTGATGATTTAGACGCCGATTTAGATGCCTATATGGCTATTGATAGTGTATGTTTCAATTATTCTGTCTCTAATTTGTTTTTATTTCCTTCTGAATAATTATGTTATTTAATTATTTATTTTTAGGGAACATCCGTGGAAAAAAATACATTAGCTATTTCAAACGGAGAAAATGGGATGGATTTATCATAGATGATCAAAGATTAAAAATCATATATATATATACATATTCATACACTTAAAAGCTTTTATGTTACAAATTTATTTTATGGTTTATCAAATCTGATAATTATAAAAAGACCTTGACTTTGTGAAAGTTTCAAACAAGTACGTGTGTATATATCGAATTATAAATATAAGTAGCCAAATATACAGTTTATTGACAACCTACCGTATTTTGCTTATTTATTAGTTAAATTATATTATTATTATTTTTAATTTTTTTAAAAAAACTGATTTATCATATAATTGTAAATGTGATTTTTAATGTTTCTTATTTTCATGACTTTCTACGGTCAAATTTTATACATGTCTGATATATGGGGAATGGACTAGGAAAACCCATACTTGAAAGCAAGTTTCAAACGGTAGTTTTCCTAGTCCATTCCCCCATATAATATATACAACTTTGAGTCGGCTTAGCCGGCTTAGCAGGTAGGGCAGAGAAATAATCGGTACAACATAACTGGCTGGCTAATGCGACTAAATAGTCTCCTTCTGATTGGCCTAACACTTACGGTTGTATTTATACAGTTTAGAGTACTTTTTAAATACTAGACCGGCCAGCGGCTTATACCGATACAACTATTATCATATGGAATGATTTTTTCGGCGATTCGGTTAAGTTTATGATTTCGGCTATATCGATATATATGTAATATCAGGGGGCTAGTTTATACGTATCAATTTCTTGTTCTATTCTAATTTCTATTGCTCTATGTTCTCTTTATTTATTGCTATATTAATATTTAATTATAATCTTGTTGGCAATTTTTTGTTCTATTGACAAAATTTTTATTCTATTCTAAATTCTTTATTCTATTGTTCTATTCTGCTGCCAACACTGTTTATATTATAACGATAAGATTTTATGCATATTCCAGTTGAATACAGAAATATGATACGTACTTTCAAACCATCTTCATTGACAAATACGTAATTGTTCATATCTAACTTTTTAATATTAATGCTTATTCGTGTAATATCGATACGCATGCTTATTATAAAAGTTTATTTTGTATCCGAACCTATTTTATCTTCCTTGCCAGGATTCAGTGGTTGACAAGAACGGTCTTTTCCATAAATTTGTGTACACCAAATATGTTGGGTATATTCAAACGAAAGTTTAATGTTAAATTTGTATGGTATTGATTTAAATCAGGTGATGTGTATAATCTAAATATTTGTAAAATCATAAACATCACCTGATTTTAAAATCATAAAACGGTACATTAAGTTTATAATTATAACGATATTTAAACTAAAATTTTGCAAGGAATTTTTTTTACTAATGCGCAGAAGATAGTTACATAGACGAAATTTTGAGTTACGGCGTTTTTTTTTAGAAAATAGTAGTTTTTGTTTTGATTTCACGTTACACCTGATATTGTAATCTAATTGGCCAATCGTGAAAATTTGTCGGTGTAAGTTTATTTGATATGATAAACAGAAGAAATCGTCGATGTTACACGACTGATTCTTCGCCCGGTGTGCAACATATAAAAAACTTTATTTTTACAATACCAGATCTTTTTGCTAGTACATGTTATAATATGATTATAATTTCACACATGTAACATTGACGGTTCCTTCTGTTGATATGATATGATATTTTGTAAGAGACCTGAGTACAAATCAAAGACTAGTATTTTATAAGAGACTTGGATTTAAATAAAAGACTAATTATAACCTTACAATTTTTTTTGCTAATAGAAATCTTTTTGAGTTTTTATAATTTTGACTTGCAAGCATAAATATTACAATAAATTTATAAAATTATAAGCCCAAAATTTAAGTATTTAGTTTTTAAAATTTTTTAAATTTTTAGCAAATTATATAATCAATGCTAAATTTTTAAAAAAAATTTGAATCTTTGATTTATATTAATAAGCATTTTTACGTGGAAGGCCAAGATTATGACGGTCAGACCCAACGTACAGGGCAGACTTTGGTACCTTGCACAGCAGTTAGAG